CAGCCTTTATCACTAAAAAGAGATCCAAGATCAAGAAAAGGGAAGCTGAAATAGGACAAAGGGATCTAGGTAAAATGAGAGAAGTCCATTGGTAACATTTCATCCACTTATCAATAACCTTGTGCTTCAACATTTTACTAGAACTGGTAAAGGTCTGTTCTACGACTCAGTTGTATAGTACAGTAAGCGATGGGAAGATAAAACCCCAAAGAAAATTTTAAAAAGGTGCAACAATTGCCGTCCAGGAGAAAGGCAGACCTGTGTGAGGACACATCGAAGGGGGATAAATACGCTGATTTGTTTAAAGAAAATTAAATAGTGACACAAGAAAGTTGAGAATTGCTTCGTTAGTGATTAACTGTTGTTAGGTACTGCATACAAAACGCTGAAAGGAGTGATTTTATTTAAAAACAATTTATAATTCTCTCAATTGTAATTTTTAACAGATTCTGCAAGAATGGAAGAAATAAATAATTCATTTAGTATTTATCTCAATCGTTAAGTGGTAAATTTTACTGGATTCGAATATTTAACTTAGCACACGAGATGGTAGCAAGAAGAAAGAATTTTAGATTATAAATTATGTAATTACCACTTAATTAAGACACAATAAAGACAGCAGAACAGGTGAGGTATTGCAGTTGGAGAATGCAATTCTTCTCCTGGACACTGGTGCAATGCAAATACATCTGCAGCAACTGTCTGTCTGCACTTTGGACATTTCTGGCTCTGGGTTTACAAGCTGGAGGCCAAACTGCAAACACAACGACGCATCATCAAGAATGAGGAAAGTTACCTGGACACCTTATTTCAGGTACACCCTTTTGGATAGGGTTTTTTTAAATTCTCTCATGGGACATACTGCATCGCTGACCAGCATTTATTGCCTGTCCCTAGTCACCCTTGAGAAGGTGAAGGCAAGCTACCTTCTTGAATTGTTGCAGTCCATGTGCTATAGGTACATCCACAATGCCCTTACAGAGGGAAATCTAGGATTTTGACCCATTGAACTGAAGGAACTGTGATATAGTTCCAAATCAGGACAATAAGTGGCTAGGAGGGGAACTTGTAGGTGATGGTGTTCCCATGTATCTGCTCTTGTGCTTCTAGATGGAAGTGGTCGTGAGTTTGGAAGGTGCTATCTAAGGATCTTTGCTGAATTCTGCAATATATCGTGTAGATATTACACACTGCTGCCACTGAGTGGGGGAAGAGTGGAAGCTTGTGAATTTGGCCTCAATCGAGTAGGATGCATTGTCCTTGATGGTGTTGTTATTGAACTGCACCCATCCAGGAAAGTAGGGAGATTTCCATCACACCCCTGACTTATGCCTTGTAGATGGTGGACAGGCTTTGGGGAGTCAGGAAGGGAGTTACTCACTGCACTGTTCCTAGCCTCTGACCTGCTCTTGTAGTCTGTGTATTTATATTTCTTGACCAGTTGAGTTTCTGGTCAATAATAACTCCCAAGATGTTAATTGTGGAAGATTCAGTGATGGTAACATCAGTGAATGTCAAGGGGTGGTTGTTAGCTTGTCTCTTGTTGGAGATGGTCATTGCCTGGCTTTGTGTGTCACTTGGTCCTTGTGATCCCAAGCCTGGATGGATATTGTCCAGATCTTGTTGCATTTGAACATGGGCTGCTTCAATATTTGACGAGTCATAAATGGTGCTGAATATTGTGCAATCATTGGCGAACATCCCCATGATGGAAGAAGATCATTGATGAAGCAGCTGAAGATGGTCTGGTCTAGGACACTATCTTAAACTCCTGCAGGGATATACTGGAGCTGAGATGACTGATCCCCAGTAACCAGAAGCATTTTCCTATGTGCCACTTATGACTCCAACCAGCGGAGAGTTTGCCCCAGTTCCCACTGACTCCAATTTTGCTGGAGTTTTTGATGCCACACACTGTTGAATGTAGCCTTAATGTCAAGGGCTGTCACTCTCACCTCATCTCTGTAGTTCAGCTCTTTTGTTCATGTTTGAACAAAACTGTAATGAAGTCAGGAGCTGCATGGCCCTGGTGCAACCCAAACTGGGTGTCAGTGAGCAAGTTATTGCTAAGCAACTGCAATGTTGATGACATTTTCTGTCACTTTACTGATGATCAAGAGTAGATTGATGGGCCAGTAATTGGCCAGTTTGGATTTGTCCTGTTTTGTGTACAGGACACACCTGGGTAATTTTCCACATTGTCAGACAGAACCTTTGGCTGTACTGGAACAGCCTGGCTAGGTGTGCAGCAAGTTTTGGAGAACAAGTCCTCGATACTTTTTCTGGAATGTTGTCAGTGCATCCAACTGTTTCTTGATAACAAAATCCATGTTCTCAGCACTTTTGGCTGAAGTTTGTTGCCAACGTTTCAGCCTTATCTTTCGCACTGATGGGTCTTCTGATTTGGTCAGTGATCAGGGAAAGAATGTGTGACTGCAAGTGAGGCAAGTAAAGAGACACAGATAACAGGACCACAGGAAACTCAGCCTTGGCATTGACCAAGAGTTTTCAAGTTTTTTCAGTTTGTTGCAAGAAGAGTAAGAGCTGCAGGACAGATGAGCTAACTGGCTATGGCATCGAGATACAGGAATCCACTCCAACGGGGGCAAACAAAAAGAATGTGGTGGTTGTAGGAGACAGTGCAGTGAAGGGGATTATTGTTCGCTGCAGCAAGAAGCAAGAGTTTAGAAGGCTGTATTGACAGCCAGGTGCCAGGGCTTTTTTTTTTTAAATTTATTCATGGGATGTAAGTGTTGGCAGTCAGGCTGGCGTTTATTACCCATTCCAAATTGCCCAGAGCACAGTTAAGAATCAACAACATTGATGTGAATCTGAAGTCACATGTAGGCCAGACCAGGTAAGGACGACAGATTCTTTTCCTTAAAAGACATTAGAGAACAAGATGAGTTGTTATGACAGTTGACATATGGTTCCATGGCACCACCAGACTAGATCTCTATTCGCCATTTTTATTAAATTCAAATTTCACCATCTCCCATCGTGGGATTCAAACTCACATTCTCAGAACGTTGCCTGGGGTTCTGAATTCTCAAACCAGCTAAGATTACCATGAAGATCCCATCCTCACAATCTCATGCCTCACCTGAGGTGCGGTGACCCTCACCAGTAATCATCTCTCTTTCCCAATGAGAGCAGGCCTATGATCATTTGGGACTTGGCACACATTTTTTTTAAAGAATAGACGGAACTGGTGAATGGATTGCACTCAGATTCCAGAATGCATCTGATGAGGTGCATTTGAGAAAATAAAATCTCAACATTTTGAGGTAATATATTGGCATGGACAGAAGACTGGCTAGTTAAGGAGAGTAGTATAAGTGGGTTATTTTGTGGTTTGTATGATGTTGTAAGTAGTGTGCCACATGGATCAATGGTGGGGACCCAATTTTCACAATTAATGTAATTGACTTGGATTAAAGCATGGTTACTAAATTTGCTGATGACACAAAAATAGATAGAAAATTAAACTGTGAGGTCTTCAGGTGCTACAAAGGGATATAGATAACTTAAATAAGTAGACAAAGATTTAGCAACTTAAGTGAAATGTGGGAAAATGTGAAATCATCCATTTTGGCAGGAAGAATAAAAATGAAGCATATTATCTAAATGGTGAAAGACTCAGAGCTCTGAAATGCAAAGGGAATTGGCTGCCCCAGCGCACATATTGCAAAAGGTTTGTATGTAGTTACAGCAAATAGTTTGGAATCTTAACAGAATGGTATCATTTATTGCAAGGGGAGTTGAAAATAAAAGCAAGCAGGTTATGTTTCAGCTACACAGGGAATTATGAGACCACATGTGGAATATGGTGTACAGTATTAGTCTCTTTATACAAGAAAGGATGTAAATGTATTGGAAGCAGTTCAGAGAAGATTTACCAAATTAATAGACAAATAAATGGAAATTGACAGCTTGTCTTATGAGATAAAATTAGACAGGCTAGGTTTGCATTCTCTGCAGTTTAGAGGAGTAAGAGGCAACTTGATTGAAACATTCGAGATCCTGAGGAGTCTGTACAGGGTAAATATGGAGACGATATGCCCTCATGCAGGAGAAGCTAGAACTTTGATTTAGAAATCAGGGGTCGCCCATTTAAGGTGGAAAATAGGAGAATTTATTTTGCATGTATGTACCACCAGTGTTAAGTTCCTTTCCAAGCCAAGCATCATCCTGACTTGGAACTTGATCATGGTTCCTGCAGTGGAAGTCTCTTCTTAAAGGCACAATGGGTGTACTTACCCCTATGCATCGCAGTGGTTCAAGAAGGAAACACATCACAATCTCAAGAGTAATTAGGGATGGTAATAAATACTGACCTATCCAACACTGCCCACATTCCATGAATTAATTAAAAGAAATTATGGAGGAAGAGAAAAATAATGTGCAAGGAAACGGGTAAAAAGGAGCTTGGCACTAGGCAATGATACTGATTTAGTGAAGCAATGCAGACACAATGGTCCAAATGGCCTCCTTCTGTGCCATAATATTTTTTCATTTTTTCTGCGTAGTTTATAATGTCTTCACATACTTTCTGAATGTGGTACTCAAAATTGGACGCAGCTCTCCAGCTGAGGCCAAATCGGTGTTTTACAAAGGTTCGCTATGACTTTCTTGCTTTTGTACTCCCTCTTTTTAAATCCCAGGATCTCAGTATCTTTTAAATCACTTTCTAAATTGTCTAAAGAGAAAAGGTTCGCACAGCTTTGGCGAAAGGGCAGGGAATAGGAATAGCTCCAGCACAGACATTACAGGCGAAATGGCATCCTGCCGTGCTGTAATCATTCCATGCTTCTGCAAAAACTTCCATTTTTACCAAATGTTACAGTATAGCACACAGCTAAAGCCAATAGCTTTAACTCATTACCTGAAATGCTAATTGTACATCACTCAGAAAATGGATGTTTAGGCCAGATTTTCATCATGAAAGTAAGCACCTTAAAATTGAATGAATTTTGGAAAGCTGCTGTATAATACCTTACCTTAATGTAACAGTGTGCATAGCAGTTATGCAGCAAGTTATCAGATGGTTGGTTAAGGCTGCTAACAGCAGGTACAAGTTGTCCAGCATACATTGGCACAGAATGTTCCAAACTGCCCTTGTCCACTTGTATTCTCAAGGCAGGTAGTGGTCGCAATGGGTGAAAATGCGGTGCACTTAAATAAGACATGGTGTTCTGGAAGAACAAAATAATTTTTTTTAAGATAGTAATTTGAATAGTGAAACATGCAGACCATGAAAGACCATATACTGTCCTGATTCTTGTGTTGGCTAAGCTGATCATCAGCCCAACAGGCAGTAGGATCCATGTGATTTAGTCCAAAATTAGGGATCATAAATACGATAATAACAAATATAAGAAGAGATCTAGTAAGAAAGTCAGGAGAAATTTCTTTACTTGGAGATTCATTAGAATATTGAGCTCACTGCCAAAGAAGCAGTGAAGTGAATATCATTAATGCACTCAAGGGACACAAGTGGGAAAAGTGATGGGGGATACACTGATAGGATTATACATAGGCTGGGAGGATGTTTACGTGGGCATTAGCTGCTTTACTAATCAGTTGGTCTATTCCTTTGCTGAACGTATTATGTAATTCTATGTGAAATTGGTCTCTGTAATCGTAAGTTAGCTAAAGGATTTTTGCAAAGCTCCTATTGATGCCTGCTGGAGGAAGTGCATTTGTAGCAAAGATAGCGATTTGCTGTGTCTTCACAGTTAAACAGTCAAACACTTCCCATGTAGACAAAATGAAGGTTACAACGTGCACGTACCAGACCACATTTACTCAACCGTCATGCTGGAACCATTATCACACCCCACCCTCTCGCAGGACACAAATGCCCCAGACCCAACACACGCACTCCCTGACCCATCAGGCCCAACTTGTCCCAAGCAGCCTAAACACTACATCACATACCTGGCTCCATTTCCACTTTTAACCTGGCACCCTACCCATCTGTCATTTACCTAGACCTAGTGTCTTAAATCTAAAAAAAGAAAATTACAAGGGTATGAGGGGCAAGTTGGCTGCAATAGATTGGGAAACTACATTAAAATATATCATGGTACATAACTAAAATCAATTAGTATTCATTTTAAAAGATGTAATACTGGGAAAATTAATGGAACAGCAATTTGTTAAATTGCCTGGACCTGATTAGTTGCATTCCTGAGTGTTGATAGAAGTGCCTGTAGAGAAAAGATCTTGTTAGTGGTCACCTTCAAAAATTCCAGAGGTTCAGAAATGGCCCCTGCAGATTGGAAGGGTAGAAATATAACCCCATTATTTAATTTAAAGCATGGAGAGAGAAAATACCTCATAGCATCAAGGGACATGGTAAGAACTACCGAAGCTGGAGTCAGAGATAACACAGAGTGGAGCTGGAGAACACAGCAGGCCAGGCAGCATCAGAGGAGTGGGAAAGCTGACGTTTCGGGGCTGCACTTTTTGCAGCAGTTGAGTCTATTCAGAAACCAGCAGGAAAGTTGATGTTTTGGGTCAGGACCCTTCTTCAGCCATTTCTGAAGGGTCCCGACCTGAAACATCAACTTTCCTGCTCCTCTAATGCTGCTTGGCCTGATGTGTTCCTCCAGCTCCACACTGTGTTATCTCTGACTCCAGCATCTGCAGTTCTTACTATCTCTGAGTTACATGATCAACCCGGTTGACCACAGAGACCAGGCCCTGCCACAGGCCTTTCTATAGTTGTTATTTTAATTTTATGAGAACTTTCACTTTTATTACAATGTGGCATTAAGTACAGATAGTTAACAAACATAAAAGGACAATTAAAGTTCTTGTCTCTAATTTACAAACTATTTGAAGAAATCCAATTGAAATGTCATATCTAAAGAAACCCTTTTCCTTTCTACATACATTTGTAAGGTTTATTTTTAAATGGCTCATTACCTTTTGACCTAAAATTATTGGAAGTAGGTTGTCGAGCAGGTTGAATTCAGCGAGAGTAATTGTAATTGTTGTTTTTAAAACAGTTATACAAGTTAATCTTGTTGGAATATACTCTTCTAAAGCAGTCAACTCCTCTTGGCTTGGCGTTGTTCTCTTCTCATCCACAGTTTCTGAAAGATTTCAAAAGGAATAGTTACTATTAGAAGAACTGGTGATAGTTTGGAAAGCAAACACAATATTGACAGAATGGTTATTCAACTAGTTACTGAAAACAAAAAAGACACACAACAAATATAATGAGACACGACTATTGGGAATATAATGGATCAGCATCTAACATCATATAACAGACACAAATGTAAATTTTAAAACTGCTCAGTTATATCCTGATTCTGAAAAAAGCAATTGATGCCTTTCATGAACTAGCAGACCAGATAGTACTGTGAAATAAATTGTGTGGATTTATATTGACAGCTTTCATCTTGGAGTAAAAGGAAATGTGTAAAAGAGATTTGCCAGAGCATGTCTCAATGTGGGTTTATAATTGCGTGATGAGAGAAATCAGAATTTGAAAATGCAAGGGCGTATTTTTAAGCAAGGTAATGGAAATATTCACGTTTATATTGAATTCAGCTGTTAAGTACTGCTGTGCCTGTAGTCAAACTCCACAGATTCACTACCATAAAAGACATTCCTCTTCATCTCTAATTTAAATATGTGACCACTTATTCTAACATTATGCCCTCTGGTCCCAAACTCTCCCAGATGGGGAAACAACATTTCCGCACCAACCTTATCAAGCCTTCGAAGAAATCGGAATGTTTCAATAAGGTCACCTCTCATTCTTCCAAATTCTAACACGTACAGTCCCAACCTACACTACCTTTCCCCATAAGAGGGTCCCTCCATACATAGTATCAGCCTAATGAACTTTCTCTGTACTGCCTCCAATGCCAGCATATCTCGCCAAAGACAAGGGAGCCAAAACTGTTCACAGGATCCCAGTTGTGGTCTGACTAGTGCCTTGCAGTTTTAGCTAAACCTCCCTACTTTTATACTCTATTTCCTTGATAGATATTCCAAAAATCCCTGGAAAGGTACAAGTGGATTGTATGACGATGCTGCAGCTTTAAGATGTTATTTTGCTCTGTCTTTTTTTCAAAAAGGGAAACAGCCAGCCTTCTAGTGAATACCCATAATGTTAACAGCTTGGGAGGCCTTGGGTATTTTTGAAGTTGGAACTTTCTAGATTTTTTTCAGTTTATTTTTAGGTTTAGCTTTAACCAGGTGCTGCTGAAGTCTCAACAGGGAAGAAGCTGCTGGAGTTTTGAAGAAGTAGAAGCTATCTTTTCCCTCTCTTGGTTACCGCTCGAAGCTGGGGTTTCTCTCTGCTGCTGGGTTACCTATGAGACAAATCTACTTTTCTGAATTTGCCTTTTTACCAAGGGTTGTGTTTAAGGGATATTACTATATAAGAACAGTTCATTAGTAACAATTACGGTATCTTTATTCAGTTAGGTTTTCCAATATAGTTAAGTTATTCTAAGTTGCTCTTTCTTTTGTGCATTTTAATCAGAGAGTGTTTAAATAAATTATTTTGCTTAACGTCGAGTGGATGGACCAGTCGCATTGCATCTGGTACATGGTACTTTACGTTTGCCTTTAAAATAAGAAAATGTTAGGATCTAGGCTTCCTTCTTAAAATATTTTGAGGGGGTCTGGTCTTCATAGCAATTGGAAACACGCTAATATGATACTCTCATTTAAAAAAATAGGCAGAAATTAGGAAACTATAGACCAGTAAGTTTGACCTCTGTAATGGGAAAGTTGCTGGAGTCAATCGTAACAGAGGAGATAACTGAACACTTGGGAAAAACCAAGCTCAATTCACCAGTGACAGCACAGTTTCATGAAGGGCAAGTCATGATTCACAAACTTGCTGGAGCTCAATGAGGATGCAACTAGCAAGGTAGATAACAGGAATCAGGTGGATGAGGTATAGCCAGACTTACAGAAGTCATTTGACAAGATGCAGCATAAATGATTGATCCAGAAGGTTAGATCCCAGGGGGATTAGGGGTAGAGTATTGGATTGGATAGAGGATTTCTGACTGACAGAAAGCAGAGGGTCAGGATAAATGGGTCCTTCTCTGGATGGTGAATTGTAATTAGTGGGGTGCCACAAAGTTCAGTTCTCAGACCTTAGCTATTTACAATCTGTATAAATGATCTGCAAACAGGGACAGAGAGTAACATAGCAAAATTCATGGGCGATACTAAAAATAAGTGGGAAAGCAGGCTGTGTTATGGAGAAAACGAGTTTACAGATGGATATTGATAGGCCAGGAGAATGGGCCAGAATCTGGCAAATGGAGTTTAATATATGTAAGTGCAAGGTTGTCCACTTTGGCTAGAAAAATAAAAGGGCACCCATGATCATGTTAAATGGCGGAGCAGGCTCAAAGGGCTGAATTGCCTATTCCCAGTTCTAATTCCTATGTCTCTTCAGACGTGGGCTCTGATTAGCCAATTGGTCAGTATGTTGCCAAGAAAGCAGTTGGTGCTATAGATTTGAATGCTAGTGAGGGATGTGGGCTTTAATAACCAAAACATTGTTCAACATGAGAAGGTGACTTCCAAAAAACTTAACATTTAGTTGGACTGACGAGAGAGTTTTGAATCCAAACAGTGTTGATTAAAGTGAGACATGACATGATTCTGTTCCACTCAGTTTTGCACATCAGACATTTAGTCCATCAAGAAGATCAGCCTGTGGGCATTACATTTTGTATATTTACATTCTTAAACTTAAGTTACTTAGGCCTGTTTATCAAATCCTAAATAACTGCTGATGATTCAGAAATTAAACCTTGATGAAAAGAGACAGAGAATTGAAGCTATTCAAGATGCACACATCAGGACTGGGATGCAAGACATAAACTTGAAAAAGAAATGTGAATTTACACAGCATGAGAAAAGGGTGCTGACTGGTTGGCCCATCAATGGCATGGAGATGCAGGAAGAAGAGTTAACTGTCCATCTTAGTTCCCACGTAAGATAGATTCTAATTGATCAGTGTGTTGATATGGGAAGGCAGCAGAAACTCCATGACCCGTTTCCCCCAGTGAAAGAAGTGCAATGTACGTACAAATTAATTTTGCAGCTGTATTAATATATTCAGCAAATGCATTATAATTGAGTAAATAAAACAAAAATATTTCCAAGAGGGAGGGGATTGGTATGCTGAGAATACAGATGCACGATCTTTAGAAAAAGTGCCAGAGGTGAGCTGTGTTGTTATGAACTGGAGTCTGAATGGGCAGTGAAAGCAGATTCAATACCGACATTTAAAATAAATATATGGTTCATAAGAAGTTCTATGAGAAAAGAACAATGGAATGGATCTAATTGGATAGCTCTTTCAAAACGTCAGCACATGCACAAACAGCTGAATGGATGCCTATTGTACTATGTGAAAGTGATTTGTTACTTTGATTTTTATTGATTCCGGAGATGTGGGTATCAGTGGTTGGGCACTAGCGTTAATTGCCCATCTCTAGATGCCCTTGAAAAAGTGATGCTGAGCTGCTTTCTTGAACCTCTCTAGTTCATTTGGTGTAGATAGAAAATTTCAGGATTTTGGGACAGTAACAGGGAGGAACAGTTATATATTTCCAAGTGAGGATGGTGAGTGGCTCGGAGGGGAGCTTGCAAGTGGTGGTGTTCCCATGTATCTGCTGGCTTTTTCCTACATGGTAATTGTCATGGATTTGGAAGTAGTTGAAGGAGAAGCCTTGGTGAATTTCTATTGTACAGTTTGTAGATGATACACACTGCCGCTACGGAGTGTCGGTGGTGGAGAGAGTGAATGCTTGTAAATGTGGTGCCAATCAAGTCAGCTGCTTTGTCCTGGTTGGTGTCAATTTTTGAGTGTGGTCAGAGCTGCAGTCATCCAGGGAAGTGGATAATAATCCATAACACTCCTGGTTGTGCCTCATAGATGATGGGCAGCTTTGATAAATCAGCTGCTAAGGTACTCCCCGTTCCACCGACCACCACCTCCACCCCAGATATTGATAGTGGAGGATTCAGCGGTGCTGACATTCTTTCTTGTTGAAGATAGTCATTTGCTCAAATTTGTGTAGTGTGAATATTACTCGTCACTTGTCAGACCAAGTATGAGTAGCATCCAGGTGTTGCTGCGTTTGGACATGGAATATTTCAGTATCTGAGGAGTCATTAATGGTACAAAATATTGCACGATCATCAGCAAACATAACCACTTCTGTTCTTCTGATGGAGGGAAGGTCATTGATAAAGCAGCTGAGAATCTTTGAATCTAGGATAATACCATGAGAAACTCTGGGACTCTTGTGGTCCAGTTGTACTGTCTCTGTCTCTGTCTCTGAGCCAGGAGGTCTGGGTTCAAGTCCCACTTATTCCAGGAATGCGTAATGACAACTCTGAAGAGGTTGGTCAGAAAATATCTACCAAGTGGAACTCCTGCAAAGATGTCCTGCAGTTGACCTCCAATAACCCACAACTATCTTTCTTGGTCCTAGGTATGACTCCAACCACCAGAGAGCTTTCACCCCAATTTCTATCGACTCCAGTTCTGGAGTTCTTTGATGCAACATTTTGTCAATTGCAACCTTGACATCAAGAAGCGTCTTACTCACTTGCCCTCTGGAGTTCAAGTATTTTTTCTATATTTGAACCAAAGTTGCAATGAGGTCAGGAGATGAGTGATTCTGGCTGAACAAAAACTTAGCATAATTAGCAGGTTTTGCATGAATGCCAATAGAAAGGATTAAATTATGTCAACTGAAATTATGAAATTTATAACTATACGGCATTACATAACAATTCATTTACACTATTAAAAGTCATTAGTAGATACAGGTGTTAAAAAGCTTGAGAATTAAAAAGTCGCAGTAGTCACTTCCAAGTGGTCTCTACAATTTTGTTCTAACCTGAGTGAGGTTTGCTGTATGGTTCATACTCATGATCCAGTCCACAGGCTACCATCTTTAGTATTCTGTGAACAGAGCTACTGTCCAGCCGAACCTCCATTGGACCTACAACTAGACTTTTCGTGGACATCTCTTGGACACTGCCCAGATCTTCACTTTTGTTTGCGGAAACATCTTGTTGTTGACTAACAGAACCTGAGAACAAAACAACCATACGGCATCAGTACATCCTTTCTTGAGTAAAAGCAGTTCTGGAAAATATGAACCAAAAGAATAAACTGAACCAGATCCTAAAAAGCGAGAACCTATGAGATGCTAACCAAAACAGCATTGGAATAGCCAAATCAACGCTAACCAATGAATAAATCGAGAGCAGGGTCAAAACATTCTTACAGATTACTCATGGGTTTTGACTACCTGAGCACTTTTAAACTATCTAACCTCAGTTTAATAAGGATAGCTTTACACCCTACTTTCCCTTCCAGCAGAACTTAAACATTCAAATTTCTGACTGACGGCAGCTGTGCATAAACGTGTATAAAGGCAGGAACAGAGTTACAACTTCAATAATATGGATGAGGTTCCAACTACACAGCAGGCAAGTTGTGCAAGCAGGGATTTGTCTAACCTAAAACCCGAATTACAATTCATTTGCCCAGACTATTGCTTCATTGTAAAGGCATCCTTAATATACAAGCCTGACAGCTGAAGAGTTCAATTTTTCTCTTCCTGACATCCAGAAAGTCAAGAGATTAGCTCAATTTGTTATCAATCAGCAGGGAAGTTGGAACATTTACTCACCGACAGAGCAAGTAATTGAGAACAATTTTTTTTAAGCTGAACTTTTATTTTGCACAATGTTTACTTTGGTCTTAGTCAAGCCACCTAAATGTTTTCCTAAGTATGGACAGCATTGTCTAGACAAGGTTCTCAATACACCTCTGACATGATATATCATTTTCACTTAACCACTTAAAATTAATCCCATTGAAAAGTGGTTCAAATACACAAGTTTCAAACCATTACTCTGACACTGCAGTTCCACTGCAGCTCTCAGTAGTAACTGGACAGATGTTAGCAGTGGTGAGGTTTTCCGCAATACAGCAAGAAAGGAGAATGGTATTGTTTGTAAATGGCAATGATGATACAGGACTGCAAGGAAGTCACCTGTTTGCCTCTTAGCCTCAATGCAAGGTGAGACACTAAACTGACTGGAGTCAGAGATAAAGAGATGTACAAAAGAAAATAGTTTGAAAAATAGGACAAAGAGGAACTAAGAAACAGATTTCAAATTCTCTTTCTGGAGAAGGCACATCACTAAGATAAAATAGAACATAGAACATAGAACATTACAGCGCAGTACAGGCCCTTCGGCCCTCGATGTTGCGCCGACCTGTGAAACCAATCTGAAGCCCTTCTAACCTAAACTATTCCATTATCATCCATATGTTTATCCAATGACCATTTAAATGCCCTTAAAGTGGGCGAGTCTACTACTTTTGCAGGCAGGGCATTCCACGCCCTTACTACTCTCTGAGTAAAGAACCTACCTCTGACATCTGTCCTATATCTATCACCCCTCAATTTAAAGCTATGTCCCCTCGTGCTAGCCATCACCATCCGAGGAAAAAGACTCCCACTGTCCACCCTACCTAATCCTCTGATCATCTTGTATGTCTCTATCAAGTCACCTCTTAACCTTCTTCTCTCTAACGAAAACAGCCTCAAGTCCCTCAGCCTTTCCTCATAAGACCTTCCCTCCATACCAGGCAACATCCTGGTAAATCTCCTCTGCACCCTTTCCAATGCTTCCACATCCTTCCTACAATGCGGTGACCAGAACTGTACGCAATACTCCAAGTGCGGCCGCACCAGTGTTTTGTACAGCTGCAACATGACCTCATGGCTCCGAAACTCAATCCCTCTACCAATAAAACCTAACATACCGTACGCCTTCTTAACAACGCTATCAACCTGGGTGGCAACTTTCAGGGATCGATGCACATGGACACCGAGATCTCTCTGCTCATCCACACCACCAAGAATCTTACCATTAGCCCAGTACTCTGTATTCCTGTTACTCCTTCCAAAGTGAATCACCTCACACTTTTCCGCATTAAACTCCATTTGCCACCTCTCAGCCCAGCTCTGCAGCTTATCTATGGCCGTCTGTAACCTGCAACATCCTTCCGCACTATCCACAACTCCACCGACTTTGGCGTCATCCGCAAATTTACTAACCCATCCTTCTACGCCCTCATCCAGGTCATTTATAAAAATGACAAACAGTAGTGGCCCCAAAACAGATCCTTGAGATACACCACTAGTAACTGAACTCCAGGATGAACATTTCCCATCAACCACCACCCTCTGTTTTCTTACAGCTAGCCAATTTCTGATCCAAACCGCTAAATCACCCTCAATCCCATGCCTCTGTATTTTCTGCAATAGCCTACCATGGGGAACCTTATCAAACGCTTTACTGAAATCCATATACACCACATCGACCGCTTTACCCTCATCCACTTGTTTGGTCACCTTCTCAAAGAACTCAATAAGGTTTGTGAGGCACGACCTACCCTTCACAAAACCGTGTTGACTATCCCTAATCAAATTATTCCTTTCTAAATGATTATAAATCCTATCTCTTATAATCCTTTCCAACACTTTACCCACAACTGAAGTAAGGCTCACTGGTCTATAATTACCAGGGTTGTCTCTACTCCCCTTCTTGAACAAGGGGACAACATTTGCTAGTCTCCAGTCTTCTGGCACTATTCCTGTAGACAATGACGACATAAAGATCAAAGCCAAAGGCTCTGCAATCTCCTCTCTAGCTTCCCAGAGAATCCTAGGATAAATCCCATCCGGCCCAGGGGACTTATCTATTTTCACACCTTCCAGAATTGCTAACACCTCCTCCTTATGAACCTCAATCCCGTCTAGTCTAATAGACTGTATCTCAGTATTCTCCTCGACAACATTGTCTTTTTCCTGTGTGAATACTGATGAAAAATATTCATTTAGCGCCTCTCCTATCTCTTCGGACTCCACGCACAACTTCCCACTACTGTCCTTGACTGGCCCTAATCTTACTCTATCATTCTTTTATTCCTGACATACCTATAGAAAGCTTTAGGGTTTTCCTTGATCCTACCTGCTAAAGACTTCTCATGTCCCCTCCTGGCTCTTCTTAGCTCTCTCTTTAGGTCCTTCCTGGCTAACTTGTAACTCTCAAGCGCCCTAACTGAGCCTTCACGCCTCATCTCTACATAAGCCTCCTTCTTCCTCTTGACAAGAGATTCAACTTCTTTAGTAAACCACGGTTCCCTCGCTCGACCACTTCCTCCCTGCCTGACAGGTACATACTTCTCAAGGACATGCAGTAACTGTTCCTTGAACAAGCTCCACACTTCAATTGTGCCCAGCCCCTGCAGTTTCCTTCTCCATCCTATGCATCCTAAATCTTGCCTAATCGCCTCATAATTGCCTTTCCCCCAGCTATAACTCTTGCCCTGCGGTATATACCTATCCCTTTCCATCGCTAAAGTAAACGTAACCGAATTGTGGTCACTATCACCAAAGTGCTCATCTACCTCCAAATCTAACACCTGGCCTGGTTCATTACCCAGCACCAAATCCAATGTGGCCTCGCCTCTTGTTGGCCTGTCTACATACTGTGTCAGGAAGCCCTCCTGCACACATTGGACAAAAACTGACCCATCTAAAGTACTCGAACTATAGTGTTTCCAGTCAATATTTGGAAAGTTAAAGTCCCCCATAACAACTACCCTGTTACTTTCGCTCCTATCCAGAATCATCTTTGCAATCTTTTCCTCTACATCTCTGGAACTTTTCGGAGGCCTATAGAAAACTCCCAACAGGGTGACCTCTCCTTTCCTGTTTCTAACAAAATGGCACAGAGGCTTCTGGATTACTAACTGAGTAGTTTACCTTTTGGTAAATGATTAATATTCAAACTTTAATTTACTTATACATCCACTACACTATTACAAGAACATTAACTTCAAATCCTTTCTGGCCACCGGATTTATCCTTTCAATCCATCAGACTGCCTTGTGATCTGCTACGGAAATCCCATGATCCCTGTCTTTTTTCCTCCAGCAATTTGAAGGTTCATAAAAACCACACAAAAATGCTCCTGTTAATCTAGTAGGGACCTGTTTAGTTCACCAATTCTCAAAGCACACATCGACTAGTTGCATTAGGGTCTGTAAAATGTCTGCTCAAATATTTAGCCAACTTCATTTTAGTTCCAATGTGATTATTATTTTAGATTGGAAAGGGTTCAGGAAGATTTACCAGGATGTTGCCAGGACTGGAGGGTTTGAGTTATAAGGATAGGCTGGGACTTTTTTCCACTGGAGCATAGGAGATTGAGGGTGACCTTATAGAGGCTTATAAAATTATGAGGGGCACAGAAGAGGTGACAGTCAAGGTATTTTGTTTTTGAATACCGATGTCATGAAAAACATCTTTCCTGAAAAAACAACAAATCTTCAATTGCAGAGATAGACTTTGCAATTACATGAAAAGGATTAACTTCTATGAAATATTCATTATTGTGACGTTCACTGCAGAGGGAATGCCTCTAAAACAGCTATTGACTAAACCATGTGCAAAGACAACATGCAGCAGGGCACATTGTTTATAGAAAGCATTGAACACGTGAGCTGACCAAACACCCACTTCTTATTTTCGTTATTTAATCCACATTCAATGCTTACGCCATACTCATTTCTTGAAAATATAATCTCAGACTATCCCGGTTAGATTGAGGTAAAACAGAGGGCAACAGGTCAAGGACTAAATGTCTATGAAGAAACATTTGTTTGTGTAGTTCAAGGGGAGGGAAGCAAACATCAAAGAGAAAATAAAGCAATACCTTTGCCACTACTACACTCCATTGTGTATAGGTAATCCATGTAAAAGGCCCCAAAACGCTGCACACCAGCTATCTCTGTGTATGTCTCCTGCCAACAAAGCAAGACAAATAAAACTTAAGTTCCAAAAGGATGGAATTCAGAGATTACAACACTTTATGCGAGTGCTATTTGTATTTGCATAGCCTTTTACACAAAGGCTTATCAGGGAAAGAGAGCAGAGGTTATCTAAAGCATTCTCCTGCTCAAGTAATGTGACAGAATACAGGTTGTACACAAAAGCACTATACAATTCGAGTCACTATTTCACCAGTTAATATCTAATTTTAGTTATTTACATGGTCAATAAACTCACAGGAAATTTGTCTCCAAATGTAGCTTTGGCCATTAGTATATGTAATAATGTAACAAATTCAAACAGCATCTTCAAATTTACTCAAAGGTATCCACCTTCAACATGCAATATCGCCTAAAATATGAACAATACTCTTCTATTGCTGTTTTCTACTTTGCCACACTGTACTTGTGGGATGCTGAAAAGCTGTTTGGATTTCATTTTCTCAGCTATTCCATATTCATGACCATTACTAGAGAATAAAATAATTTTCTCCTCTTCCTGTCTTATTTTTGCAAACCAGACAACACAAAGGTAAAAGGTACAACCATCTCCTGTTGATTTTACAGGATGATTTTGAGTACCTGTTTTAGGATGATACTTTTAGGTGCTAACACTGCGTTTCACATATTGAGCACAATTGTTATTTTAAGAAGCTGTCACGAATGCTGAACTTTGCAAGACAGTAATGTTTTGACATGTACTTTCAACTCAAAGTAAAACCATGAATTCTGGACAAACACTTGGCTCGAAAACTTACTTGTATGATTCAGTTGCCATGGGGATGGAAATGAGAAAAGAATTAATATAGTGGGAGATGCAGTTTTAACACTTTTTCACAGTAAATTGCAGCTAAAGGATAGCTGCTGTCTGAGATGAAGAAATAAAGGAGCTACTTCTGTAGGAATGAAGGGTGAACTGTCTTATGTTAACAACCAAGGGGCTGCTTGTACAAGTTTTTGTTTCTGTTCTAAAGGAAAGCAGCAAAGAAGGTCTAAAAGTTTTGTGATGGATAGGAAACTGGTTGGCAGAGAGAAAACAAAGAGTAGGAATTAATGGATCCTTTTCAAATTGGCAGGCAGTAACCAATGGGGTGCCACAGGGATCAGTGCTGGGACCCAGCTATTCACAATATATATTGAGGATTTGGATGAAGGGAAAAAAATTACCATCTCCAAGCTTGCAGATGATACCACATTGGGTGGGAGAGTGAGCTGTGATGTAGAGATGTAGATGATGTAAATGTAGAGATCCTTCAGCATGATCTCGACAGGTTGGGTGAGCGAGCTAATTAATGGCAGATGCAATATAATATGGATAACTGTGGTTATTCACTTCAGAAAAGCAAAAACAAGAAGGCAGATTACAACTTGAATGGCTGTAAATTGGGAGAGGGCAGTGTGCAGCAGGACAGGGTGTCCTTGTGCACCAGTCACTGAAGGTAAGCATGCGGGTGCAGCAGGCGGTAAGGAAGGCAAATGGTATGTTGGCCTTCATTGCGAGAGGTTTCGAGTACAGGAGCTGGGATCTATTGTTGCAGTCGTACAGGGCCTTGGTATGACAACACTTAGAATATTGCGTGCAGTTTTGGTCTCCTTTTCTGAGGAAGGATGCTCTTGCTCTCCAGGGAGGAGAGATTGACTAGGTTGGGATTGTTTTCACTAGAGTTCAAACGAATGCGGGGAGGGTGCGTAGAATCTCATCGAGACCTATGAGATTCTAACAGGATTGGACAGGGTAGATGCAGGGAGGATGTTCCGATGGTGGGTGTGTCCAGTACCAGGGGTCACAGTATCAGGATTCAGGGTAGACGATTTAGGATGGAGATGAAGAGACATTTATTCACTCAAAGAGTGGTGAGCCCGTGGAATTTATTATCAAGGAACCAGTTGATGCCAAAACATTTAATGTATTCAACAGGTGACTAGATATAGCACTTGGGGCGAATGGGATCAAAGGTTACGGGGAGAAAACAGGATTAGACTATTGAGTTGGACAATCAGCCACGATCGTGAAGAATGGTGGAGCAGGCTCAAAGGGTCAAATGGACTCCTCCTGCTTCTACGTTTTCTATTATATGATTTGCCTCACCATCGCACCAAGTAGTCCATTCTGCATTTCCTGCCATCTATCCTATCTGCTTCAGTCTTTTCATGCCAAGAGTTTCCACTTCTGTCAATCAGTTAAACGTTTTAGCTGACCCGTACACTCTTTGAACACTTTATTAGGGTCTACCTAGGCTTTTATGCTGTCAGTGTTCACATTAAGGTTCCTTTTTCTCTTCTGATAACTCAGACACCCAATCCTGAATTAAATGCTGTCCTTGAACATGCATCCTGCATGCAGGATGCAAGTTTCTTTTCTTGTAAAGAAATTACTTCCACAACAAATAATACAACACAATGCATAATAAATGGAACCAACACCTCAAACCTGTTTTGGATTTGGCAGAAGTTTTAACCAAAGCAGTGAAAAGTTAATTGGCATGCTATCTGGCATCCACCACTCAAACAAAGATGACCCGACAGTGAATTTACATCCAATTTCTCCCCCAAACAGGGAGAAAAACATCGGGTCTTCACTGACATCATACACAGTAGTATTCATTTATTCTTAGGATGTGAGCATCGGCAGCAGAACCAGCACACTGGTTTTCCCTCACTGCCTTCAAGCAAGCCACAATCTTAAACAACTTAGGTACACCAGTACTTGACTTTTGTGTAGCAGTTTGATACAACAGAGCAGCTTGCTAGGCCACTTCAGGAGGTAACTAATAGTCAAAATATGTTACGGTGAGTATGGAGACAGATGTATTAAAGGTAAAGTCAACACAGTCTCAGATGGCCATTGGGCTGTTTTCTCATCGTAGAAAGACAACTGGTGGTGATTTAACCTGAGGGTCACCACAACTAAGGCAAAAGTGTGAGGTTGAAAAGGCAGGACCTTCATGGTAACCCTCAGCCGGCACAGGAATCGAATCCACATTGTTGGTGTCATTCTGAATTACAAACCAGCCACCCGGTCAACTGAGCTAATCTGCATATAGATTGAGTAAATCAAATTAGTCACAATAATATAGAAGAGGAATTCCTAGAGTGTATGAGATGGCTTTCTGGACAAGTACATTGAGGAACCAACTAGACAGCAGGCCATCTTAGACTGGGTATTATGAAATAACAAAATTGATAATGTAGCTGTGAACAATCCCTCGGGAATGAGTGACCATAATAGATAGAATTCTTCATCAAGGTGGAGACTGAGGTAGTTGATGATGAGGCTAGGGTCCTGACTTTTAATAAGGGCAGCTATGATGGTATGAGGAGTGAGTTGACTATGATGGCTTGGGTAATGTTACTGAAAGGAATACAGTGGATAGACAGTGGCAAAACATTCAAAAAGCAAATCAGAGCTATAAAAATTATTAAAATCCGACAGAACTGTGGATGCTGTAAATCAGGAACAAAAACAAAGTTGCTGGAAAAGCTCAGCAGGTCTCGCAGCATCTGTGAAGGAAAAAACAGAGTTAATGTTTCGGGTCCAGTGACCCTTCCTCAGAACTGATGGTGGCTGGGAAAACATCAGTTTATATGCAGAAACAAAAATTGTTTATTCCTGTCTGGAACAGTGGCCAAATCAGGCCTAATAAGGGAAGTTAGAGACGGCATTCAATGTAAATCAAAAGCATACAAATTGGCAAGAGAAAACAATTGATCTGAGGACTGGGAACGTTTTAGAAGTCAGCCAAAGAGGGCCCAAGGGATTGATTAAGAAGGGGAAAATAGAGTGCGAAAGTAACATAAGAACTGACTGTAAAAATTTCTATAAGTTTGTAGAGAGAAAAATATTGGTAAAAACTAATGTAGGCCCCTTAGGTGAGAAAGAAGGAAATTTATAATGGGGAACAAAGAAATGGCTAACGAACTAAATTCATACTTCACTTTAGGCTTGACAGAGTAGGACATGAATAATGTACCCAAAGCATGGGAAACACAGGGTTGATTGACAGGAAGAAATTGAAGCAAATCTGTATTTGTGGAGGAATGTTGTTGGAGAAATTGATGAGATCAAAGGCTGATAAATTGCCAAGAATTTGGTAAACCTTTGTTGTATTCTCTTTATAGCAAGAACATCCTTCCTTAGATAAAGAGACCAAAACGTACACAATGTTCTAGTTGTGGTCTCACCGTTGCCTTGTATAATTGCAGCAATATATTGTTGTTCCAGATTTGAATCCGTTTGCTATGAGGGCCAAGATACAGTTTGCCTTCTTTACTGCCTGCTGTACTTGCATGCTTACTTTTAGCGACAGGATTGCCTGATTATCTCCAACCCAGAGTACTTAAGGAAATAGCCCTAGAAACGGTGGATGTATTGGTGGTCATCTCCCAAGATTCTAGAACAGTTCCTATAAACTGGAGGGTAGCTAATGTAACCCCACTGTTAAAAATGGGAGGTAGTGTGAAAACGGGGAGTTATGGGCCAGACAGTCAAACGTCAGTAGTGGGGAAAATGCTATTATCAAGAATTTTATAGCCAAATACTCAGAAAATAGTGGCAAAATAAGATATAGTCAGCATGGACTTACAAAAGTCCATGCTTGACAACTCTACTGGAATTTTTTTTTTTTATTTATTCAGAGGATGTGGGCATAACTGGCCAGGCCAAGGACAGTTAAGTGGCAACCAAATTGCCAAGTGTTCTGGAGTCACATTTAAGCTAAAACAGGTAAGGATGGTAGTTTCCTTCTCTAAAGGACATTTATGAACCAGATGAGTTTTTCCAACAATTGACAATGGTTTCATCATCACCATTAGACTCCTAATTCCAGACATTTATCAAATGCAAATTCCAACACCTGCCACAGCAGGATTTGAACCCGGTCCCCAAGATATTACCAGGTCTCTGAATTAGCAGTGTAGCAATAATATAATTCTTCGAGGATGCAACAAGTAGAGTTGATCAAAAGAGCCAGTGG